ATTCTATTCGTTAACAAATCTGATTGAATCACTGAATTTAATTGCTTGTAATTGTGCGTGAGGTCACAAAACACTCACAGATGGAAAAACATGGGAGATTGTGCATTGATTACATAACATGATAATATTTACCAACTTCATTAACAGCAATTTAGGAAAATATCACTCACCTGAAGAGCAAGTCGCAGTAATTAACCCATAAACCGGTGAATAGCGTGTTAGGTCAGCTTTAATGCCGCAGCACAAGAAGACATTCTAAAGACAAACAGAAGATGAGAAAGAATTACGAGAAGTATCACGATAATGACAGACCGGCGGAGCAAATGTTAAACACAGATTTAGTTCTCTGTGATGAAGATTAAGCGAGCACACTGCTTCTATTGTCATAACACTCCTCCGAAATCCCATCTTTGACGCTCGTATCCCAAATGCCTCTTTAATCTCTGAACATTACCAGCGAGGCATGTTTAAGGCTAAGCAGATGCCATGAAAGGCTCTGAGGAATCAGAAATACTTTAATAAAACCACTTTGAAGATTCACTGATTTTTTTTCCTCTCTTCAAAAATAAAAATTCACCACCCCTCCCCTTCCTCCCTCTATTCTTTTTCTTGACGGCCTCCCTCTCTCTTTTATGTTGCTGAAACTTCGAAATCTGCCGTCGGTGAGAGGGAGAGAGCGATTTAGTGGCTGATAAGCAGTCAGGCATGGGCAACCTCCGCAGCGGGGCACTAATGCTCAGCCCAGAGAAAACCACTCTCCCAGCAGCCCTTAATGGACAATATTATGTGAAATCATCTCTACTATTGAGACACCAGGAGTCAGGAAGTATCGGAGCGAAAGAGAAGCATCTGCCTCGGCTTGAGAGGTTTGAGTGGAAAGCCTTTCTGACTAGACTGGATTCTGAGTGATTCTCTTTGTGTAAACAAGATATGGATGTTAAACGCAGTTTAGCAAGAGAGTGATCAAGTGCTTGAGCTATGAACAAGAGCAGCTAAAGGGTTAGTTCACCCATAAATGAAAATTAGCCCATAAATTACTCACCCTCAAGGCATCCTAGGTCTATACGACTTTATTCTTTCAGACGAATCCAGTCGGAGTTATATTAAAAATTGTCTTTGATCTTTCAAGCTGTTTCATGGCACTCAGCGGGTGTTGCATGCATCAGCTCAAAAGAAGTTAAATAAAAAGCGCCCATCCATAAAACAAAAAGTGCCTCACACAGCTCCGGGGGGTGAACAAAGGCCTTCTGTAGCAAATAGATGCGTTTTTCTAAGAAACATATCCATATTCAAAACGTAATAATCACTTTAATGTAGCTTGCGCCAACAGTTGTACACGGCAGCAGCTCCGGGCTGATGACGTATGAGTTCAGCTTTGCGCATGAAACTGCTTCCGTGTACAACTGTTAAACAGCTTGAAAGATCAAAGACAATTTTTTATATATCTCCGACTGGATTCGTCTGAAAGAAGAAAGTCATATACACCTAGGATGCATTGAGGGTGAGTAATT